TAGTTTTAGTAATTTTCTGAGATTAATTTTCGTATGTTTAACTTTCTGTGGGCTACCTACAATAAAAACTTAAGGCACAACTACAAAAATGCCACTTTTCAAAAATGGGACAATGAGTTGTCCATTTGCAAAAATATCACTAATTATGAATTTTTAAACCTTAAATCTTAAAATTCTAAACCCTAAAAAATATTTTGACCCCTAACAAATCTTAAACTCTCAAGACTAAATGCTAATACAACATAATTAGCTCAAACATTAATAATAGAATGAATAAATAATTTTGAAAAAGTAGTATTTTTGCAAAGAGTTTGAAAATGTGGCATTTTTGAAAAGTGGTACTTCAAAAGTAGAATTTTTCAAAAAATCTCAAAACTTAATTAGTTTTCTCACAATATTGTTTGTGGGTATAGTTTTTGAGTTAGTGGGCTAAATTTAAGTAGTTTTGTGATATTAGTTTTCTTGGATATAAGTTTTAGCGGATTAAATTCGTGAGATAAATGATTGATAAATTTTGCCATATCACATTTTTTAAAATATTATGTCACAATAAATTTTGAGAAAGTGATTTTAGAGAAGACACCTAAGGCTTTTTTGGAAAAATCACTTCCCAAATAATGTATAAAATATTTTTTTTCTTGGGTTTAAAATTTTTAACCGGTATAAATTTAACTATAAATGTTCTTGAAAAAAAATATTATTATTTAACTTTCTCAAATTCACCAGATGGCAATTTCGTACCAAATATTTTTGTCAAAATGTTTTGCTAATCGGATCAAAATTCAAACCAATATCCTTACAAACCTGGATTTTTATTTACCTATTTTTGTTAAGGTTATCTAAGCATTGAATTTTATGATTATAAGTTTTTCTCTGCGACCATTTTTTTTTATTCTCTCTCTTACAAATTTGAATTTGGTAATAATAAAAATATTTACCTTCTACACAGTTTTCACCACATTTTAAAAATATAATAATATCTTTTCTTTGCCTCGAAACCAAATATATAGTTTAATTAATTAACATTTTAGTCCCTAAAATATTAAAATTTTAAAAATTTCCACATAACACGAACAACCGAAAAATCTATATTAATTTTCAACATTTTTTTAAAACAATGATGAACATATCTAAATATATTTTTAAGAATAGTTAACTA